GCAGTGGCTGCGAGGGGAAAATATATATATATATATATATATATATATGCATTTTTTTTTATTCTTTCGGCTGCTCTTCACCTACCCACACCATTTTATGACAGCAACCATCTTGGATTTTGACGTGGCACCCAATTTGTGATGGTGGCCTACCTTACGTCTAGATGCAGCCACTGACTAAAATTGAAGTTGGCATGTTTCTTATTTTTCAAGTTATCCAGCTCACAAAGTTTACATATACATATATAGTGGCAGTCATCTTGAATTATGACATGGCAACCCAATTTTTGCTAGGAAACTTTCTTATGTCTCGATGCAGCAACACACCAAAAAGGAAGTCAGAGTGTCACTTGTTTTTCAAGTTACCCCACTCACAACATACACGGACGGACAGAGGGTATTTCCAATCCCCCCCTTTTGGCTCAGAGACGGGGAACAAAAAAATTTAATATTTTAGAAAATAGAACAGAATAAAGTGTGGAAGTGGTTCTGTGTAGATGTTTGAGTAGAAGACAGATGTTACCTTGAGTCTGTGAGTTTCTGGGCCAGGCCTTTCCAAGTGTCTCAAAAGCACAAAGCAGAGCTTCAGTCTGCAGCTCTTTCTCTTTCACATCTTTATCATCAGGATCATTGTCGTGGTCGTCCACAGACCTGAGAGATGTCCCGCCACTCTGTGGACAGCTCTGCTATCAAACCAGACAACACGTTTGTTTGTGTTTTTTTTTTATTTGTTTGCGTCTCTTAGCAAACGGGGGATAATTTCACCTTCTTGATAAGAGGGAAGAGGATCTCAGCCATATCAGTGAAGCGGTCCTCCTGGCAGCTGTGGAGCACGTCTCCAGCACAGCGCAGAGCAGCTGTTTTGTACACCAGATTCTCCTTTCGGCACTCTTTCAACACGACCTCCGCCACCTCTGGGATCGTAGGCTGGCCGCTGCATGGCTTCTGCAGCTCAGCACTAAAAGCCAGAGGAAGAAGAACAAAGTAAAATACATCGATACGAGGTTCTCCATCTAAAAGAAATGGCTATTAGCAGAAAAAAGTTATGCCGGAGGGCTCACCAGCATTTGGACACCACTGAACCGATGGCTTTCAACAGCTCCTCCTGGAAATAAAAATATAAAAATAAACACAAATCTGTTTTTTTTTTGTTAAATTTTCTAGTTTTCGAGCAGCAGGAGGAATTTTTACCTTGCCGGCCCACGTTCGTCCGGACAGCCCCTGCATTAAAGCCGTCAGCACCAAACCAAGGTGTGGTGCCACCAACGAGCCCGTCTGCTCCTTAGCAACAGTTGCCATGGCAGCTGCGCCCTGAGCCTTCATCTTCCAGGACTGAGACTGCAGTGCTTTTTGTGTGATGGCGATCAGCTCCGTCATGTAGAGTCTGATACCTCCAAAGCTTCCTGACGTTAGTAAAAAAAAAAAAAAAAAAAAAGTTTTCAGACTTAAAAATTTGTGTTGTCAAACCGTAACTAAGTTTTTCTTTTCAACCCTATATGGCAAAAAGCTCAACGTTAACATTTAGTGGAAACTTTTAATGTAATTCAAAAATATTTCTGACTGGTCAATGCTACCATTTCATTTCCTAAGCAACATTTATCCTCCTGATGCTCTGTAGCACTGCGTTCCTCACCTGGAACGTTCTCCTGCCACACCTCAGCCCACAGCGTGGCATCATGACTCTCTCCTTTCTCCTCTTCAGGACCGGGGGCCTGATGCATGCCCAGGAAGGCCAGTGGCAGGGCCACACCTGCGTGAGCCTTCAGCACATCTGGACTGTAGTGACTGATGGCGTGAACCGTCAACACACACGACGACTTGTAAACAGGTTCTGGAAGCAGCAGGGAAAGAGTCAACGAAAACACAGAAACCAGTGGAGGCTGTCAATTGATTCCAGGATGATGCAAGTAACTGATTTCCCTTCATCTTGCTGTCATTATCATTTTTATTTTTTCGTCTGCTCCCTTCTTCAGAGGACACCACAGTGAACTAACTCACACGAAGACTTGGCAATTGTTTTTACACCGGATGTTCTTCCTGACACAACCACAGCCCTCTGTGTGGAGCAGAGAGCCACTATCTAGGGCACCCAGAGGAGCAGATGGTGGGGGTTAAAGACCTTGTTCAAGGGCCCAAAGTGGGGTAAATGAGGGTGGATGCAGGTGTGGGTGCTTCATCTTTCACACCCACATTTTGATGTTGTCGGTTCAGGGAGTTGCACCGGCGACCTTCCGATCACAGGCCTACCTTCTCTAACCTCTGCGCCATCACTCCCCTTGTTGCTGTCATCATTATACTGGACTTTAAGACAAATTATTTCCAAAAAAATTAATTTATCAATGATCAGTGAGTTTCAGCTCCTAGGTACATTTTTATTCAATAACTCTGTTGAATAGCTGAACTGAACACTATTTCTATAGGGACAAGTTATTAAGAGTTTAGCTTTTCTCACACGCCTCTAATGTTAGTTCAAAAAAGCATTTGACAGATCTGTCCGAATATTTTATATACGTGTCAAAAAACATAATCATAGTGGAAAAAATAATTAGAGGACGGACTGCTAATAAATGCAACCTGCAAATACCAAATCAATCGTTTGCTGTGCTAACTGAATGTAGTCGAGGCACCAAACCCTTGTAGGTGGTATCAAAGTTTATTTGTAACAGCTGAGTCATCGGCCCTTCGATCACGATGCTGCTCGTAGTTTGCTGCATTTATTCTGCTTCTGTATTTCGTGGCTGCTGTTTTAGCCACTGAACATTGTTTCTGGTCACATCTTAAGTTAATATGTTTGTTCTCGCACGCCGTCACTCTTCTTCATTTAACTGGCTGCGTCATCAGTTTTTCCTCTCTGGTCTGTAGTCACCTAACGGTATCGGAGTGATGGTGGGATGATTACTGGTAGAAGGATTTCCATCTTCTCACACACACAAGCCATAGTGTTCGTTTTAAAAATTACACTTAAGTCGCTCTGGCCTGCTGGTTTGAAATTATAAAGATGCACTTGATTGTGGTACAGGAGCTCGACAGATTTAAAGACACTTCTGCTGTTGGGTTATGTCCGCTGCAAGTCTTTTAATTTTATTAACCCAGTGAGAAAGTGACGGTTTAGATCAGGGGTGCCCAATACAGCGATCATGATCTACTGGTAGATCATGAAGACATGAGTAGATCGCACGGCGAAATAGATGTCAAGACCATTTTTAAAATGTCTTAATTTTATTTTTAAACAGACGTCAGCCGATCAATCTATCTTCACTGTGAAAATTGTCACTTGACTGACATACAGGTTAGCCAATCTGAGACCGACCTTTTCTGACACACAGGTCACCGTGCATGCGCAAAAAACCGCGCTAAAAACAAACGCGTTGACTCGTAATAACCTCCAGTTTATATCTAAACTCAAGAAAGTGTAAAATGAGTTGGGGAGCTGGACCAAGTAAGAAAAAAAAAATTACCATTTCCATATGGAATGCGGGGAGGAATTTTTTGTTCCTCCACAATTCGAAGTGCGTTTCACCAGAGTGGCATTTTCAGACTATTCATAAATAGTACGTCCATCCATCCATCCATCCATTTTCTTCCGCTTATCCGGGGTCGGGTCGCGGGGGTAGCAGCCTAAGTAGGGAGGCCCAGACTTCCCTCTCCCCAGCCACTTGGGCCAGCTCTTCCGGGGGAATCCCGAGGCGTTCCCAGGCCAGCCGAGAAACATAGTCCCTCCAGCGTGTCCTGGGTCTTCCTCTGGGCCTCCTTCCGGTGGGACGTGTCCGGAACACCTCACCAGGGAGGCGTCCAGAAGGCATCCTAAACAGATGCCCAAGCCACCTCAACTGGCTCCTCTCGACGTGGAGAAGCAGCGGCTCTACTCCGAGTCCCTACCGGATGATCGAGCTTCTCACCCTGTCTCTAAGGGAGAGCCCAGACACCCTGCGGAGAAAACTCATTTCGTCCGCTTGTATCCGAGATCTCATTCTTTCGGTCACAACCCAAAGCTCGTGACCATAGATGAGGGTGGGAACGTAGATCGATCGGTAAATTGAGAGCTTCGCCTTTTGACTCAGCTCTCTCTTCACCACGACAGACCTGTACAGCGCCCGCTTCACTGCAGACGCTGCACCTATCCGCCTATCGATCTCACGCTCCATTTTTCCCTCATTTGTGAACAAGACCCCAAGATACTTGAACTCCTCCACTTGGGGTAGGACCTCCTCCCCGACCCGGAGAGGGCACTCTACCCTTTTCTGGCTCAAGACCATGGCCTCGGATTTGGAGGAACTGATCTTCATCCCGGCCGCATCGCATTCGGCTGCGAACCGCTCCAGCGAAAGCTGTAGATCACGATCTGATGAAGCCAATAAGACCACATCATCTGCAAAAAGCAGAGACGCAATCCTAAGGCCACCAAAACGGATCCCCTCAACACCTTGGCTGCGCCTAGAAATTCTGTCCATAAAAGTTATGAACAGAATCGGTGACAAAGGGCAACCTTGGCGGAGTCCAACTCTCACTGGGAACAAGCCCGACTTACTGCCGGCGATGCGGACCAGGCTCTGACACCGGTCATACAGGGACCTAACAGCCCGTATCAAAGGGCCCGGTACCCCATACTCCCAGAGTACCCCCCACTGGGCCCCCCGAGGGACGCGGTCGAACGCCTTCTCCAAGTCCACAAAGCACATGTAGACTGGTTGGGCAAACTCCCACGCACCCTTGAGGACCCTGCTGAGAGTGTAGAGCTGGTCCAGTGTTCCACGGCCAGGACGAAAACCGCACTGCTCCTCCTGAATCCGAGGTTCGACTATCCGACGGACCCTCCTCTCTAGAACCCCCGAATAGACCTTACCAGGGAGGCTCAAGAGCGTGATTCCCCTGTAGTTGGAATACACTCTACGGTCCCCCTTTTTGAATAGGGGGACCACCACCCCGGTCTGCCAATCCAGGGGAACTTCCCCAGATGTTCACGCAATATTGCAGAGTCGCGTAAGCCGACACAACCCTACAACATCAGGAGCCTTAAGGAACTCTGGGCGAATCTCATCCACCCCTGGGGCCCTGCCACCGAGGAGCTTTTTAACCACCTCGGTGACCTCAGCATCAGAGATTGGAGGGCCCGACCCAGAGTCCCCAGGCTCCGCTTCCTCAGTGGAAGACGTGCCGGTGGGATTGAGGAGGTCTTAGAAGTACTCTGTCCACTGACCCACGACATCCCGAGTTGAGGTCAGCAGCACACCACCCCAACTATAAACTATAAATAGTACGTCACCGACTTAATTCTGAAACATGAGCTGAGAAAGAAAACGGTGAAGGAACTAAAATCCCAGTTCTCTGGACAGCAGTCACTTTTCTTACAGCTGACCAGCAGCGAAGCATCAGTCCAGGTGAGTCACTTCAATAATTGTTAAGCACAAGAAGTCTTTTCTAGACGGAGAGATGGTGAGACATTTGTTGAAGCAGCTGACTCGTTGTTCAGAGACTTTAAAATCAAATCAGAACCATTATCTTCCATCAAAGCTCTCAGGTATCAAAAAATACGGTTACAGTTAAAAGCAGCCGCTGGCAGGGCTGAATTTTTACAAGTTATTTTACAAACATGAAGCTATTCTTGTTTTCTGTTCCTTTGTGTGAAGAACAGGTTATTGCTGGGTTTTATTATTTTGTACTTGGACAGTAAAACTAAATTGTCTTTTTTTTTTTAAACAAACTTTTGGGTTTTGTCATTTATGTTGCGTCCACAGCGAGCTGGGACTTATTCATTCATTCAACTTTTATTTATCCAGGTTGAGTCATGAGGACTCATTTACAAGAGAGACCAGTTTTAGACAGACAACATATAAAGTACAGTAAAATGATATTAAAAAAGTGTTATAAAACAATAAATCAAGTTGCCGTATAAAACGATAAAATACTAAAAACAAGAACATATACTTTAATATATTTATAAATAAGTACTGGTACACTGGTTTTGTATTTTTACAGTAGGTAGATCACTTGGACTTGGTCATTTTAAAAGTAGCTCACATGCTGAAACAGTGTGGGCACCCCTGGTTTAGAACGTGAGTCATGTTTACCCTGCATTAGGTTTTAATGTTGAAATAAACAATAACACGGTGACTAAAGGTGGATTGAAACAAATCTATAGATCTGTTGTTGCTGTTTTCCTTTCGGCTGTTTTGTCAGGCGTCAGCATCGCGACCCAACTTCACATGAAAGATTTGCAATTGTTTTACGTCAATACCATCCTGACACAAACTGGGCTCGAACCAGCGGCCTCAGGATTACAGGACCACAGCACCCCAAATATATAGTAAACACTGTGAGAACTAATTTTAGATCACCCAGCTTAGCTAAATTACAATGCATTTGTTTGCTTCTAGTAAAAATTAACTTTATGTGTCCAGCTTCACAAGCAATAACAATAACTGCTAATATTTACAGAGTTTTGTTTGTGCATTAGACACAATAAAATAATCCTTTGGACTAGATGTTTAGTTTTAATTTTGGCTGGTCTTACATGTAAAATGACTCGTAATCTTACTTGTGCATCTCACAGCCAGGCTGTTTTACCGAGCAGACAAAAAACATATTGCTACATTTACTGCTAGAAGGTTTTTTATTTATACGCAGAAAAAAATAACTACCAGTAATAATGAAAACCTGCTGGCCACCTTATTGCTCACAAAATCAGAGACGAGTTTGAGAAGAGTTTGCAACAAGGAGAAGAAATAAACATCATCTACCAGTATTACCAAGTGCTGTCTGATTTTACACCAAACTAGAAGGAAATTTTAAAACGGTTGAACACGCCTCAGCTATAATAAGAAATCTGGCTCGATTACAACCAGACCTTGAAACAGATGAAAGCAGCAAGTTTAAAAATGACTCACCTTCTTTCTCCAAGTACCAGTTGCTGAGCTTCAGTAGTAGTTTTTCTACGCTGCTGTCCTTTGCTGTCTGATGGGAAAAATAATTGTCTGCATGACAAAACCTTAAACATCAGGTTTAATCACTGTCCGTGTTTGAATTGTGCGTACCCTGACTAGATGTCCCAAGGCAAAGGCAAAAGCTTTCTGGACAACAGAGCTTCTGTCATGGATGCCATTCAGCAGGGCACTCATCAGTTTACCTTCCAACAACAAAAGCATAACTTTGTTAGTTTATTCCAACCAGATAACGTGTCAGACGATCAGATTAGCTGTGCTGTACCTGAGTATGGGGTCAAGTCCTGGGGACACTGAACTGTGAGGGAAACTATTACACTCGCACAGCCTCCCTAACAACAAAAGTCAGAAATTAGCAGGCCAACTTTTTACCTCACATCTTCAGAAACACAAGAGCACGAAAATATCAGAATGTTCATGTAAAATATTTGATTAAATAACCTAAACATGTAACCAATAAGAGCATCTCTGAATGCATTCATGTACCTTAGTGCCCAGGCCTACTCCACTCTTGAGCAGTTCACAGAGCCTGGGGACGAGCTCCCCCAGCACAGAAACATCAAGGTGCTGCAGACACTGAATGCACACATCCTCAACTTAATGCACATCTCACCAGCTTTTGTGTAAAATAAACAAACTGAGTGGGAAAATACAAGTTAAGGATGTTGGTGATGGGAATGATTATGCATGCAGTGCTTAATGTTTTACCATGTTGACGGTCTCCATCATTGGAGATGATTTGGCAGCACTCAGCCTCGCAGCATCCATGGCACTCTAAAAACACAGAACCAAAACACAACTTAAAACAACAGGAAGACCAACTGGTAATAAACCTACAGGTTAACACGTTACCTTTTCCTGCTCGGTGGCTCTGAGACTGAGGTAGTTGAGGACCTGAGGCTCCAGGGTGGAGAGAGCTTCCAGCAGGGCTGGGATCAACCGGGACGCGTGAGGCTTCAGTCTGGCTCCAGCCGACTTACTAATCTTGACCAGGGTCTGGATGCTGGACAAAAAAACAAACATGATCTGTAGCCCATATGATGATCAACGCCGCTCTGCTGTTTTGTAACTTGAGAAAAGGCGAACAAATTGTGAGAAAATGAAACGGCAACACTGAAGTCGTTCCAACACGAGCAGCTTTGATGTTTCACCAGAGAGCACATCCTGAAGAACTGTTACCTGAGCGAGCGAACCTCGGAGACACTGCTGACGATGCCTTTCTCTAGCAGGGTGGGCAACAACACTGCCACAGTTCTGTGGACTGCAGCGCCTGTAGACTCACACATACGAATGCACACCTACACAGAAAAACAGACACGTTCTTGGACATGCACACAAGTACACACAGACAAATACAAACATGTTAAAAACAGGTCAAGGTCGGGACAGTCTTACCTTACTGAGTGTTTTTAGGGTTACGTCTGCAGCCTTTCTTACAGATTCCTAAAACAATAAACATTAAATATCAAACCAAGATTAAACGTGTTGTTTTTTTATACCATGAACCAGGTTTCATAGTTTAAAATGTCAAGAGTTTAAACTTTGTGCCAAGTGGGAAAAAGGAGGATTTATTTCTGATTGCTGCTCACCTTGATGTCATCGAGGACTCTGAAGAGGGTTTCCCACATTTCTGTCAAATGATCAATGAGGTCATCAGCCTGACGACCACGAATCAAGTCATTAAGTGCCAGGCAGCTGCACAAGAATTTAAAAAAGCTCATCAGAACAATATTTTTTTTAAACTTTTACACATTTTAAACCTGTGGTTCAGACCTGCTCAATGTACACATTAAAATAAATAAGTCAGAGTAGGTAACCACACGGCCATGATGTGACGTAAACATCTAACAGGAAGTGGCTTCAGCCAGTTTGTTGCTAAAGTGATGGGAAGATTCAACTCGAGGATTCTTCAGAAGTCATGTGGAAGATGAATTGTTGAAGGAAAACAAACATAAGAGAAACAGAAAAGTCATTTTTATTTTACCTTGACTCTCGCACTCTCCAGGCGTTATTGGTTAAGTTGGAAATGACGTCCTGCAGGATCTCCTTCAAGTACTTGTCCACCTGGACAAACAGAAACAAGCAAACTGATAAATCACGACCGTCCTCAGCATCTGCCTGTCTGTATGTAGTTTCTGTTCATGTGAAAGAGCCTTACCAGGGTCTTATCAGTGACCAAGGCATCCCAGATGCTAGTCATGGCCTGGCGGACGCTCAGGTTGGGGTCAAACTGATAGCGGTACAGACGAGGCACTATCTGAGGCAGGAACGGAGCCAGCTGCTCTCCGGCCTTGGCTGCGATCATGTGGAACCCAAAAGCTGCTCCCTGAGAGAAAGGCAGATTTAGTTGGGGGTCAGGTGGAAGAAGATCATCAGAAAACAGAACGACAGCACGTGGATGTGACTGAGCGCGACACCTTGCGTGAGTTCCACATGGCGTGGTGGTTGGCCAGGTTCATGAATTTGTACACGAGATCTGGTTGGTTCAAGTCGCTGGCCAACGAGCACAGCTCCTTGTACGTGGACAGGCCGTGACTGTCAGGCAACAAAACATGTTTACACATGAAAGAGACAAATTACTCATTTGAGCTACCTGGATGTACATGAATATTACATGTTTATTACATATGGACTAAAACATCAGTAAAAATGTCCAGAGAGGCTGGACAAGGCTCACCCATCAGGTGTTTTTCCCAAACCCTCCCCTTGGAACACTTCTGTATCCTCTGAGACCGCATGGCGCACCCTGCATGCAACGATAACTCAACACTGAACAAGACCTTTATGTGCAGAAAAACAATTCCACCACAAAAATAAAACAAGAAGCTCTGGTTAAACCAGCTTCAACCTGATTATTTAGCCTTGAACTCACCTTTTACCAGTCATGAGAGTTTCCACTAGAGTTGACACCAGTTCCTGTTGATCTCCTTTGCCTCCCATCTCATAAACGAGCCCGAGGCCTTTAGACGCTGCGTCCTGACTCAACTCTGGATGAGACGGGGAACGATGAACGACAAGATTAGTCTTGGAACATTAGAAAATGTGTGTTGAATAAGAGCAAAGTGTTTAAACTGGTTTCTTGTCTCACCATCAGGGTCTGACAGAATAGAGATGAACGCATTCTGAATTTCCTTCAAATGAGACTTCAAGAGCAAAAAAAGAGGAAACAAAATTGTTTCAAACAAATCTACTTTGAGAGAAAAGCACAATGAAGGCATTTGAACACCAAGTCGGATTGTTTTTTTCTAAACCTAAACATTGCTGTGGGCAGATTCAACAGAACGTCACCCTTGTTCAAGAACGAACAAATCAAGCCCAAAATGAAACCTGCAGGAAAAAAATTCTGCGGTCGGACATCGTTTATCACAAAACAACTTCATAATAGAAGAGTAAATGTCTGAACATGAATTTATATCACTTAAAATAGTGCATAACAACCAAAAACCTGTGAAGTGTTGCATTAAATTTAACATAAAATGATCTGAAAAAAACATTCAAGTGATTTTAAACTCGTTAAATCTTCTGGCGTTCTGTCTGTCTGATGGACTCACGGTGATTTCTTTGTGCTGACTCAGCTTCTTGACGAGAGACAGCAGCCAGATGCAGGCCGCCTGCCTCACATGAGGGTTCTGGCTGGGAATATACTTGGACAAGATCGAGCTGAGAACCCAAGGAACCACATCCTTGTTTTTAACATCTGGAAAACAAACAAAAAACATAGGGATAAGACTAGGAGACAAACAAGTTCCTGTTCTTGCAAAGAGCTTCATAACAAATAAGCTACAAGTATAAAACGTGCCTAAGATTTTCTTTTCTTGCACATAACCACATAAATAAAAGTGAATCAATCATATTGCAGGTTCCTTTGACAATCTGCTTAATTGTAACCTTTTTATTTATCAATTTCTTTATTTAAGCAGGTAAATCCCACAGACACGAGGAGAACATGCAAACTCCAGACAGAAAGACTCCTGGTCCAAACCGGGGATTGAACCCAGGACCTTCTTGCTGTGAGGCAACAGTCTTCCCCACTAATCCATCATGCTGTGACAGTATGTCTTTGCAGACACTTGACATAAACTTACATAACATACCAACAAAAATATAAATTAAACGCATACAAACAATTTCGAGCACAACACAAACTGTTACGACTGAAAACTACTGACCGTGTGGCGGGCTGTACTGGTCCTCAGTGCAGGTCCACGGGTCTCTGGCAGCTCCAGAGCTGGTTCCTATGGCTGCATTGGTGATGGCCTCTCCGACTGTGAACTGCAGCTCCACCTGCTTGGCCTGCAGGTGAATTAAATGCAGGGAAATTCAGACGTTTTGTCATGAAGAGTCACAGCCTGTGATAATTCAGTGCTGCTGATGATCATTCCAGCTGTTTGTCAGTATAATCAAGCTCTCATACCTCCACAGAGTCCATGAGTCCCTGCAGCAGCTTCTTCTGGTGTGAGAAGTCTGCATCTCCCACAGGCAGATAACCCAAGGTCATGATGGATCTTTCCTTCATCTAGAAAGCATGGGGAGAAATAACAGTAGAAAATAATTATACATACATAGGTACATGTCTTCATTATGTCTATCAATTGTTCTTAGTTAATGCTTTGTCACTAATCCATAAAGTATAAACCCTGAGTGAACAAGTTCAGCTTACCTTTGTGCTCTCCTTCCCTGAAGTGATCCGAGCCAGTAGGTTTTCTACAATAAACAGTTTAGTGAAGCCCTCTCCCTCTGCAGGGATCAGCAGGATCCCATTACGCCCAATTTCTCCCAGAGCCGTGCAGGCTGCGACGGCCAACATCGCACTGCTGTTATTCAGGAAGGAACCTAATGGAAACAAGGGCACCGCATACTGTACATTACACACCCGTCAACAAACCGTTGTACAGCAGTTCTTAACTTTGATTGGATTTATAAACCACGACTCTGGAATGATGCAAAAAAAACATCTGCAGGCTGTTGAGTTTTGAGCTTAATCTTAGATTTGTGGCCACACAGCAGAGTCAACATTTATCACATTACCAACATGAGATACTCATCACCAGTGTGACATCTGACATGTGTGTGTCCACCACAGACCCCCCCAGAGTTTTCATCAGACCAAATAAACATGATAATGATTACAATGATTGATTAGATCATAGTGTATTGAAAATCCTCTACAACTTGGACATCATAATGTCATCCATTTCATTCATTCAGAACATTCATAATTATTCTTTTTTGTTGAATAATGTATGTGACCTTGGAGCTGCAGTGAAGAAAAGTGTATGTGACACTCTGTTTAATGATGATGCATAAGTTTATGAAGTTTCAATAATTTATCTTGAGTGGACCAGAAGTTATGACCCAGACAAGAGAGTGAACAGACGCATGGAGACAACGCCATAATCCGTCATTCAACAGGCATAAAATAAAAATGACTGTAAAATACTTGCACACCAATTGTTCTTGTAGCCATAGCAACAAGATCATCATCATCATCCTGGGAGGTGATGCTCATTTCTTGCCCTTTGCTTTGCGTCAAGTCAAGAGAGGTGACGGCATTCTTTCTGCTCATGCTCCTTCCCACCATGTAGCCGAGAGCCAAGATGGCGCCGTGCTGAGTCTCAGGACTCTGAGATCAGACAAAAAGAAAAAAAATCTTTGAACTTGGATGAAACCATGTTGGCATTTAATGTAGAAAAAAGGAGGGAAAAGTGGCATACGTGGTTGTCTTTAGTGATTTTGATGAGATTCTGCACTGCGGCCTGCAGTTCGTTGCCAGTCATGGTAGAAACCACCACAGCGTACAGCTGAGCTGCAAGTTCACGCATGTCCTCCTTATTTGTGTTCATCAAACTCTGGAGAAAAAAACAAAAACCTTTTTAGAATAGAATCATTACCACTGGATCTGCTGGTACAAACTGTGGGCAGCTTGTAAACTAACACATGAATACAGTACTCACTTTAATCCAGTCTATTTTATCAGCAAACCTGGGGGCCAGTTTTTCTGGAAACACAGACACCACCTCCAGTAAACAGTACATGACTGGGATCCCTGAGGAGAAACACAATACATAGAACAGAGCTGAAACATGGCTGATTCTTGCTTAATGCAGAAAATAACACTTTTTACACAAACACAAGTCCTTTCCTTTTTAAATATGGTGGTAGAACCACGACCTTTAGGAGAGGCGGAGTCATTTCTCTCACCTCCCACTGCAGACAGCAGCTGCTGCAGAAGATCCATGTAGATGTGTACAGGGTTGGCCTCGCAGCCCTTGGACCCTGAGGGCTGAGGCTCAGTTGACAGCAGAGTGTGCACGTAGCGACCGATGGCAGGAGCGTCATCCTGCATGTCCGACAGGCGTGTGGACATGGGCGTGGCCCCGGCACTGTGGGCTAAACACATCCTCAGATAGAGCATGATCTGAAGAAGCAAGGGGAAAACAAACGTCAAGAGAACTGTAAGAAAAGAGTTTGCAGCAGTTTGTCAGGACTAAACGATGCAGCACAGACTTAATGTTTACCTCTCCAAAAGCAGAGGGGTTAAAAGGAATAGCTGCGGTTCCAACGATGTATTTAGCTGGAGTCTTAATCCTCTGAGCTGCCTGGAAAGAAAAGATTGAATTATTTGTGTCAAAAAAAAAAAAAAGAGATGTAATGTGGATGTGTTGCCCAATAAACAATTCTCACTTTCTCTTGGATGTAGGCGACCATGTCTGGAAAAGAAGGCATCGGCTTTGGTCCTTCCTTTTCCGAGTTTTTTTTAGGAAAAGCTCTCAGCACCTTTTGAGCTTCTGAAGCTACCTCTTCTCTTCTAAAGCACAAAACCCAACAAGCTTTACGTTTCCTCCAATACCGTGAACAAGTACGGTCTGATTCTTGATCCAGTTGATTACACACAGTTTTTGTTATACTCACGGGTCTCCAGCAGCCAGCAGCAGCAGATACCTTGAAGGCACGTGATCTGGAGCAAACACCGTGCTGGCAAACTTCATGGCCACTTGTCGGACTTGAACCTCCGGCTGTTGCAAAACACCAAAAAGACAGTTTGATCTGCCTTATGTTTGACTAAAAAAAAACAGTCAAACGTAAGGAAGTGGTTCTGGTATGAACCGAACACGCACTGTGTAACTGTTAACTTACCTTTACAATGTACGCAGCCACCAGAGCTTCCATCAGGTTCAGCAGAGCTCCTTGAAGGTTAGCATACGCTGCAACCATCATTGATAACGCTTCCTGAATTGCAAGACGTACATCTGGCTCCTCCTGAACAAGGCGACACGTAGTTTGAAGAGACATAAATGTGGGGTGTATGCTTAAGAAAATGGACATTTATTGAATTATAAGTACAGGTGCATTTTGAACTTTTAGTGCATTCAGTGTCAGGTGCAGACATGTTCACCCACCTTGCACATGGACTCAAAGAACTGCTGCACTAGTGCGATATCCTTAGTGAAAAGCTGTGGCATGCGACTAAAACAAATAGAAAAAAGAATTACGCACACGAGAACATTTTAAAAGCAAAAAATATAAAAATTAGTTTCTTTATACCTCGACAGCTTCCCAACAGCAGCGTAAGCAACACACAGCAACTTAGGATCCTGCAAATATAAAAGTATAATAAATATACATAAACAGTATGAAATCACTTAAAAGTGCATGTTTAGTTGAATACCTCCTTGTACTCATTGATGAGCTTGGTAAGACCATTAAGCAGCATTAATCCTAACGGCTTGTTCGTGTCAGGGCATCTGTGATTCAAGACAACACGTCAGCTATTTTTTTCAATGCCAACATATTCATGGACAGAAACACAGCTTATCTGTGCGGGGATAAGACGGTGTCCTCCTCTTACACCATGCAGATGTGATGGACGAACTGCAGCGTGAGAGACAGCAGCTTGTTGTTGGTGTTGGCTCCAAACAAGCCATCGTACACAACCTACAGCAGAAAGCAAACAAGTGAGAATCCCCGAGACGACAAATTATTTTAATTACTTCAATAACATACTTGGATAAAATACACAGTTCCTATTTCTTGAATTTAAAATGATTGAACTAGAGAACTGAGTCTTAAACACTGATAATGTAGCATTGCGGTCACGTCACCTGGATATTAGCTGGAAAGCACTCTGCAGCCAGACGGGACCGGAGAAGATGTGGCAGGATCTTCAGTTTGACTCTTGTGCTCACTGGCTCATGCTTCAGCTCCTGCTTTATACTGCCACCCTGATGCACAAACATACAAGTAAGTTGTAGTCGTAGAGTTGCCCAGAAAGCCCCAAATTCAGTTTAAAGAAAGTTAACGTCGAGTTCACAGACCTTTGATTTAAGAGGAACATCTCCCAGATACACCCGGAACATCTTGTTGATGATTAGAGGATTGTTCCAGTCAATGGTGCTGGAATCAAAGAAAATGTGTGCATTACAAATATGGTTAATGCCGACACGTGTGCAGTCGTTTACCCTATGAATTGGGAACAACGCTGTAAGAATCACAGGCATGCTTCTTTGTAGATGGTGGTGTTTCAGCTACCTCTGTTTGCTCTTCAGCTCCAGGTCAGCAGCAGTGGCCACGCTGTGCCTCGTGTCGCTCGACGCCACCACCAGATGCACCACCGTCTCCAACTCTGGGACCTGCTTTGCCTCAATGAACCTCACTATGCCCAGCTTGCACTGTTGTAACAAAGCAGGCAGGAGTTAAAACTGAGCAGGAACCAGTTTGTAAAGTTTTGGCCAGAATAATTTACTCAAGCGGACAAGAACAAAAATCATAACTGGACGTTTTGTTTGAGCGACAGCACCTGCTCGAGCTGCTCCGCATTCCACTGGGCTTCTCCTATCACCCTCTTTACAGCGTACACGCTCATCCCTGGGGGAGGCTGGGGGAGACCCTGACTGCTCCCAGCCACCGTCCCATCAGCTGAACCTCCCTGGGAGGAAGAGGGTGCAGGCCGAGTGGGAGATTCATTCAGCACAAACCTAAAGGTAACCATAAAAATGATAATAATTATTAATAATAATAATAAACTTTTTTTTATATAGCACCTTCCAACCATGTCATGCACTGAACAAGGTGTTTTACAAGATAAAACAAAGAAAAACAGGGCACAATAAATCAGTGCAAATTAAAAACACAGCCACAATAAACAAAGGTAAAAGAGATAAAAAAATAAATAAAAATACTAAAAGTTAAACATTAAAAGCAGTTTTAAATAAATAGGTCTTCAGTTTGGCTTTGAACAGAACCAGATCAGAGAAGGCACGCAGCTCATAGGGAAGAGTATTGGGGCCTGCAACAGAAAAGGACCAGTTCCCCCATTGCTTGCACCTTGAGCAAGGCACCTCCAACAGATATTGACCAGCAGACCGTAAAGTAATTATTGAAATCACCTAAATCAGGTGTCAGGAGCCCATTTTACCATCCATAACAACTGCTGCCTGTAAAAAAGTTTATAGAAGCAACTTAACCTACTTGTTTTATTACCGCTGTCTTTTTGTTGCACATATAAAAACAGGTATAATTTTCTATTGTCAGTGTAAATATGAAGACGACTACGGTAGTTACTTTTGATCAAAGATACAAGGAGCCACTGCACAGGGGCCACAAGTGGCTCCAGAACAACAGGTTGCTGTTGAAAAGATACTTAGATAGATGGATAATAAATTAATTTATATTTTGACTGTCTTGGCCACATCCCTGAGCCTGGTTCTGCTGGAGGTTTGTTCCTGTTATGAGGGAGTTTTTTTCTTTCCACTGTTGCCTTTGTGCTTGCTCAGGACGGGAGACCGCAACAAAATGAAGACTCAACGTATCTGCTGACTTCCTTCCTTAGATAACTTTTACTAAATTGGCTTTTATAATGTATGTGAATGTTTCTGTTCAGTGCTCTGAGATAACATGATGTGACTTGGCGCTATAGAAATAAACTGAATTGAATTTTATTCAGACCACACCAGCAGGAACTCACCCATAAGGCATGAGCAAAACATCCAACATGAACTCAAGGAGAAGGTGTATCGTCTTTGGCCTCTCAGATAAGTTGAATGGAGAAGCACCCTTGGACGGGTGTGCAGGATACTTCATGTGGTAAAGAGTCGGGATCAGCAGGTGCATGAGGCTGCGAGCAGAGGACAGGGAGGAAACCATAAATTCTAGTGCAAGTACAGAGAAAACAGTTTTGTCACGTGGACAATATCTAAACTTTTGTTGAAGACCAACTGATCTTTTTACCACACTTAAGCTTCTTGTCACTGGGTTGCAACCGTTTGTGACAAATTGTGACCAGCCATCCATGAACAGCGTCCAAAATGGATAAAATGTTTACGAGGACTTCTTAGTTTTTAACAGTCAAAGGGCATAAAAACAACCTTCACCTGTCCTGCTGAGGCTGTGGCTTCCCTTCCATGGCGGTGAGGAGGGTTGGGGCCAGCTCACACTGTTTTCCCACCTCAAGACGAGGGTAGCCCATTTTAATGTAGATGATTGTAAAATTCTGCGAACAAACATGTCCATCACAGCTCTCCTCTCAGGTAACAAATCACTTTTCATTTTAATCAGGCTATACCAAAATCATATTTAATGAAAGACTGTTATAATAAACATGAAAATTCAGACAAATTCTACACCATCTAGTCAAAATGCAACAAAACACTGATCCAGACGTTTCATCTATTGGTAGCATATTATAGATTCTTTAAATGTGTGCTGAAGTCATAATTAAATGGCATCTGATATCAAAATAATTAATAAACATGCTTCAATGTTGTAACTTAGGACCTTACTGTAACAAAGGAAGCGGCTGCAGGGTCCTGGTATTGCACCAACAAAGTTTCTACTGGCAGCTGAATCTTTGGTCTGCTTTTTATCCTCTTGTTCAGGTGGACCAACAACTCCATCACCTAGCAGGAGAGACACTGGTTTTAGTGTGGTTTCATGATGAAACACAAGCATGAGTAAAAAAAAAAAACGTGTCAAGAGAGGTCATTGAAAAGACCCCAGGTATTTTCTATCAAGTGAGTTAAGCATTGCAGTAAAAAAAATCACCCATCAGACAAACAGGATTCATTAAAAGGAAAGCAGGAATTCATTATAAACTCTTTTTCTACATTCTGAGCAACATTCATGACCATCTGTTGACCCGGAAGTGGTTTTTGAAGCCCCGGAATGATCTGATCGGGTCATAGGAGAAATTTTATCCTTTGTGTATTCTGCTAACGCAGCCATAACTTTATATTTCTCAACTAATCTGAACAAAATATAATACTCTTTACTTTATATATGCTTCCATTAGGTAATGTTATTAAACAGCATGGGATAAATTGTCATTGTTATGCTGATGACACATAATTATATTTGTCCATTAAACCCAATGAATCCAATCAGCTACTTAGACTACAAGCATGTCTTAAAGACATAAAAACCTGGATGACCCTTAATTTTCTCCTGTTGAACACAGACAAGACTGAGGTTTCGGTTTTTGGACCTGAGCACCGTAGGAATGAATGTTTCAGTCTTTCTCCCTCCTTAGATGGCATTAATCTGTCCTCCTGCTCTAATGTTAAAAATCTTGGTGTTATTTTTGATCAGGACATGTCTTTTATCCCCCACATTAAAAACATTACTAGAACCACCTTCTTCCACCTGTGTAATATCACTAAAATTAGAAACATCTTATCTAAAAATGATGCAGAAAAACTGGCTCCCTGTCAAATCCAGAATAAATTCAAAATCTTACTTCTAACCTACAAAGCTCTCAACAACCTGGCTCCATCTTATATTACAGATCTTATTGTTCCATATTTTCCAAACAGAGCACTTCGCTCTCAGACTGCAGGTTTACTTGTGGTTCCTAGAATTTACAAAAACAGAATGAGAGGCAGATCTTTCAGTTATCAGGCTCCTCTTTTGTGGAACCAACTTCCAATCTCTGTCCGTGAGGCTGACACATTATCCAGTTTTAAGACTGGGATTAAGACTTTCCTTTTTGATAAATCCTATAGTTAGGGTCGACTTGGGTTTCCTGAGCTGTCCCTTAGTTATGCTGCTATAGGCTTAGACTGCTGGAGGACAAACTGACCACACTTTTCACTCTACTGCTGTCTTTACTTACTCTGCTCAACCTGTTTTGTATTTGTAATTATTTTTTCTATCCTTAACATGCATTTTTTTTTGTCTTTCAGATACACCTGTACCTATACCTGGACCTACCATTCTGTGTTCGTCTGTCTCTCCTTCCTGTCCTCTCAAACCAGCCGGTCAAAGCAGATGGCCGCTTGTCCTGAGCCTGGTTCTGATGGAGGTTTCTTCCTTTTAAAAGGGAGTTTTTCCTTTCCACTGTTGCCACTGTGCTTGCTCAGGATGGGAGACTGCGACGAAGCCAAGATTCAACTTGTCTGCTGGATTCCTTAGATAGAGAACTTTACTAATTGGCTTTTATGTGAATGTTCCTGTAAAGTGCCCTGAGACAACTTTGTTCTGATTTGGCGCTATATAAATAAACTGAATTGAACTGAAAATTGTCATACCAATAGTTTTCCTTTTTAAATTTTGCATTAAAAAAAATATTTAAAATTTTTTAATTTAAAAAAATTATTTTTTGCATTGAAGAAAACAAGTTTTAATACAATTTGGGAACTTTGTTTTTTTGTAATGTTGCTAAATCTTAGGAAGGATTGCTACAAATCCCTTAAAAACAGAATTGTCCCGTATTTGACATTAAAATTACCATACCATACCATACCACTTTATTTATAAAGCACTAAAAACAGCAGCAAGGCCAACCAAAGTGCTGTACAGACAAAACAACAGGTAACACACCAAGCAATATACAAAATGAAATAAATCAGAATATAGGAATAAAAACGATGCAGATAATGACGACAAACCAGTGTGGAGCATACAGGAACAAAACACAGATCATCTGGTGTTGAAAGCTACTGAATAGTAGTGAGTTTTTAAACGGGACTTGAAAACCGAGAGGGAGGGGGCCTGTCTGACAAGCAGAGGTAACTCGTTCCAAAGTCTTGGTCCTGCTACAGAGAAGGCCCTGTCACCTCTGTGATTAAGACGAGTTCCTGGAACTGTGAGGAGCAACTGGTCTGCTGACCACAGGGTACGTGGTGGGACATACGGTTGTGGCAGATCAGAGAGATGGGGTGGGGGGCGAAAGTGTTCAGTGATTTGTAGACATACATGAGTATTTTGAACTGGATTCGAAAGTGAACTGGTAACCAGTGTAGTGAGGCCAAAACTGGTGTAATGTGCTCTCTTTTGCCTGTACTGGTTAAAAATCAGGCTGCTGCATTCTGGACCACTTGTAGTCGTGCAATGGAGGTCTGACTGATACCAAACAGGGGCGAATTGCTGTAATCAACCCTAGATGTAATGAATGCATGTATTACTGTCTCCAGGTTCTTTTTGGACAATATGGGCTTCAGTTTAGACAGCCGCCTCAGTTGGAAGAAACATGATTTAACAATCATGTTTACATGATTGTTAAGCTTCAGGGAAGGGTCCGTTATCACGCCCAGATTAGTGACTCTTTGTTTTTCTGACAGGGTTAGAGCGGAGAGGTTGATGCAGTGGTTTGTGATCGTGTTGTTGGGAGGGAACAACATGACTTCAGACTTCTTTTCATTGAAACTTAAGAAGTTTAAAGCCATCCAGTCCCTGATGTCAGCCAGGCAGTCGAGAAGAGGTTGAATAGAGCATGTACCATTGTGTCTTAGGGGGAAGTAAATTTGACAGTCATTGGCATAGAAATGAAAGGGTATGTTGTGTTTCCGGAAAATAGCACCAAGCGGCAGCAGGTATAAAGAGAATAGGAGGGGACCCAGGATGGACCCCTGCGGAACCCCCCATTTAAGCTCTGCCTCTGCAGAACTAAAATCCTCGATGGGGACACAAAAGGATCTGTCAGTGAGGTAAGATCTGAACCAATTGAGGGCTGATCCTGTGACGCCCACCCACTGCTCCAACCTAGCAATGAGGATCTCATGGTCGATGGTGTCAAAGGCGGCTGTGAGGTCCAACAGGACAAGCAGCACAGAATCACCAGTATCTGTGAATCTGAAGTTGTCATTAAAGACCTTCAGCAGGGCAGTTTCAGTGCTGTGGAGAGGTTTAAAGCCAGATTGGAAAAGCTCTAAGATGGCGTGATCCTCCAGGAAGCACTTCAACTGGAACTCAACTGTTTTCTCCAGTACTTTAGAAACAAATGGGAGTTTGGAGACAGGCCGGTAGTTGGATACGACTGAGGGGTCAAGGTTTGGTTTTTTTAGGAGAGGCTGGACAGCAGCTTGTTTAAAGGATTTTGGCACCATGCCAGTGGATAAACTACTGTTTACTATAGCCAGAATGGACGGACCTAGAGTTGTTAACACCTCCTTTAGTAGTCGAGGGGGGACCACATCAAAGGGGGAACCAGAAGGTTTCAAGCTGCACATGACCTGCTCTAGAGAAGATAGAGTGATGGGTTCAAAATGGTCAAAAGGAGCTACAGATTGAGGTGGGATGGATGGGTCATGAGTTGGAAGGGAAATGAGAGTCCTGGTGGTCGCAATTTTTTCCAAAAAGAAATGTAGGAAGTTGTCGCACAGCTCAGTCGAGGCTTCCAGAGGTGATGGTTCAGTGAGGTGGAGAACAGAGTTTAGGGTGGAGAAGAGGACACGTGGGTTGTGAGAGTTTGAGGTAATTATGTCAGAGAAGAATTTTGATTTAGCAGCTTTCACTGCTTTCTGATAACGGCGCCAACTCTCTTAAAGTATTTTAAAAGAGACCTGTAGCCTGTCTTTCCTCCACTTTCGCTCCGCCCTCCTACATTGTTGCCTAACGGCCTTGGTGACGTCACTCAGCCAAGGTTCTGCTCTGAGTTTTGATTTTTTGGTTTTAATAGGAGCGACATGATCCAGAGTCTTTAAGCAGACAGAGTTCAACTGGGATGTCAAAATTGGACATGCCAGTAGATAGTTTACAATTCACACCGTTAAGTTAGAATTTAATACCACCTGACAGTGGGGGTTGGGGCCCTAGGATCAATGTCTGGCTGTAATAGGGTATCAATTTATCTACATAATCCTATTTTATTTTTCTGGGATGAGAATCAGCTCCTCTAAATCTGAGACTTCAGTCAGAAAAGGGTGGACTACTCTCTTCAGGTCGAGGTTCTGCGTCAAGTGAGAATTGTAGTGAGAAGTGTAAATGAGTCTCCGAGGCTCATTGGGATTAACCTGTCTAAATAAAGGTTGAATGAAAGTGGAGGAGTTCAAGTATCTCAGGGTTTTGTTCACCAGTGAGGGAAGAATGGAGTGTGAGACTGACAGACAGATTGGTGCAGCAACTTCAGTATTGCGGGCTCTGTAATGGTCCACTGTGGTGAAGAGGGAGCTGAACTAGAAGGCAAAGCTCTCCGTTTACTGGTCAGTCCATGTTCCTACCCTCACCTATGGTCATGAACTCTGGGTGGTAACCGAAAGAATGAGATCATGGATACAGGTGATTGAAATGCGTTTCCTTTACAGGGTAGCTAGACTCTCCTGTAGAGATAGGGTGATCAGTTATCTGGGAGAGACTCAGAGTAGAATTGTTCCTCCGCATCAAAAGAAGCAATTGAGGTGGTTGGGGCATCTGGTAAGGATGCAGCCATGTCCGACTGGGAGGAGACCTCCCAGTCTCCCAGACGTAGTCTCTCCAGGTTGTCCTGGGAACACCTTGGGAGTCCTTACAGAAGAGCTGGAAGAGGTGGCTGTGGAAAAATATATCTGGGCCTCCATGTACAAGCTGCTGCCCCCGCGTCCCGACTTCAGAACAAGCAGAAAATAATGGATGATGGATATTTTTGGATTAAATGTTGCAGCCCAAGTTGTAGGGGAAACATGGTATGACAGAAGCTTTTGTTAACATTTCTGTGGAGTTTAAAGCATGGAGATAAGCACCTCACCTTCTTTCTCACACCCTCCTGCACACTGGAGAGCTTCAGAAGAACAGGGGGCAGAAACTTGGAGATGATGTCCTGCAGCTGCTCGTCAGTCTCTGCATGGCCCAGGCGAAGGAACACACGTTCCAGTTGATCTGTCAAAACAATGTCTCACCATCAGTCATGAAGACGAGACAAGCAGCTCGGCCATAACAAGCACGGCTCAGACACAAACTACAATGTAAAGCAACTGTGTACGAGCTTCAGCGTCATCAAAATAAAGAAAAATATACCAGATTCAGTCATCCTCACGTGCATGTTGCTCCAGTTTGGGCGATGAGCTCAACCTTCAGTCTCCTGGTTGTAGCTCAGCAAGCAGCTAACATCGTAGGTTTTTTAATATTTTACCGATTCCACTGCCTTTTCAGAACCGGTGAAAACACGCGTAATTAACCCCGCATGTCCCAAATGTCCAAGATGAAAAAGTACAATTCAAAAGTTTAGTGGACGTAAAGAAACGAGCAGCCAGCATGATGGTTTCCTTTAGACCATGACTGGGCAAACGGCCTCCCGACGCTAGCCTGCAAGCTAGCTGAGCAGCGAGCTAGCGCTAGCTTTTAACTAGGCGGCTCCTTTAAAGTTTCTTAGCTTACTTTTTAATCAACAGGGCCGGAAAGCGTGCAATGAGAAGTCTGTTTGTAGCGACAGTCGGCGTGACATTAAAGAAAAATATAAAAAGTCAAAAACGGAGGAAGAAACTTACTGAGTTCATCCTGGGCAGCCATGTTTGCAGAAGAACATCAGCGACCCCTTCAGGTCACTCGTTGTCACTGCAGCTGTCCTGTCCACAAACCACACACGAGGGTCGAGAGTCAGAGAGAACATACGTGACTCATGAGGTGGGACGAAACTATGTACACAGGGTCCCAGTTACATCCAACACGAACACACATTGTAAAGAAAAACATTAGTAAGATCCGAGTCATGAACTAAGAATAAATACACTAAGCACAAGTAGAAAAACAATGCGCCAAAACAACAGCAGCACGAACATGAGTCTGTGTGAGCAGATGAGGGCGAATGAACACAGCAACATGAAATAATCAGCAGCATGAGATCAGCATCATGGATAGTCAGCAGCACATAACAACAACCAAATGGCATTACAGTGATTTTTCCTGGTTGGCGATTCATGAGTCTAACAGCCTCAGGGTAGAAGCTGTTCCTCAGTCTAGTGGTTCTGCACTTAATGCTCCTCAGCCTTCTGCCTGAGGGGAGCAGGGCAAAAAGTGTGTGTGCTGGGTGAGTGGGGTCCTTCATGATGCAGGTGGCCCTCTTCCTGCATCTGGAGGTGTAGATGTCTGTGATGGTGGGGAGACTGACTCCAACAGACTTCTGTGCAGCTTTCACCACTCTCTGCAAAGCTTTTCTTTCTGCAGCTGTGCAGCCTCCATGCCACAGATGCTGGAGCACAGGATGCTCTCCACTGCACACCTGTAGAAGGAGGTGAGGACTGAGCTTTTTATTCACCAAGTCACAGAATTAACCAGCTAGCCTCGTCACCCAGTAGCAGTCCTAATGTAACCGGTAAATTAAAAGTCTCTTTCTGTCATGTTTTTTTAATGTAAACTAGGGGTCTGCACTCTTCACAGTCCCCCAAAAAGTGTCCCTTACATTTTCTAAATTAAACATGTCTGGAACTACACAACGTGATAGAACTGAGATCTTCATCTGGTGGCACGTGGACCACCTCTGGCCTGCTGGAGTGAGCATGGGGGCGATTTTTTTTTAACCTTGCGCAAAATAACTGCGTGAAATAAAGTTAAAGTTCAAGGTTCTTTATTGTCATTCGCATCACATGTGGTACATGAGGTGGAACAAAATTATGTACTCAATATCCCAGTTATACCACAAAATAGCTAAAATATAAAATAATAAAAGAAACAGTATATAAGCATCTACGATATTAAGATATACGTTGAATCTTCTTCTTTCGGCTTTTCCCTCTTCAGGGTCTCCACAGCGAGTCATCCTCCTCCATCTCTATCCTCTGCATCCTCTGTCCTCACTCCAACTACCTCCATGTTAACTGCATCCATATACAGTAACTCCTCTTTGTCTTTTTCCTGACAGCTGTGTTTCTAACATCCTTCTACCAATATACCCACTGTTCCTCCTCTGGACATGTCCAAACCATTTCATTCTGTCCTCTCTAACTTTATCTCCCAGTTGTTCAACCATCATTCAACCTTTATTTATACAGTCAGTTCCTACTGAGCCTCAAGGACTCGTTTACAAGAGAATCCTGTTTCAAACAGACAAAAGTAGATAAAGAAAAGAGAAACATGAGGGGAAGGGAGGTGAAAAAATCATATCTTGCACTATGTCCTGGCCGGGGCACAGTGTGAAAGTTGAGAAAAAAGACCTCACACATAAACAGCAACGTACTAAGTATAAGCAGTATACTGTATATACAATATATGTAATATATGCAGGCAGAGGTGGGACTCTGAGCAATTGGAGCCTCCTGGGCTCAGTAATTTAAAAGAGAGCTCTACTAACTTTTTCTCTCTCCCACTCCTCCAGGTAACCTCTTTTGTCCTTTGTTCCAGTTTGGTTTTGGTTGGACATCCATTCACTCTTACACTGCACACACTAAACATACTTGCACATTTATATTCATTATCTATGGTTGGGTTTTGTCTGTGCAATAAAACAATTTGAATTGGCCCATACCTTTGCATATATATATATATATACAGGTCCTTCTCAAAAAATTAGCATATTGTGATAAAGGTCATTATTTTCCATAATGTAATGATAAAAATGAAACTTTCATATATTTCAGATTCATTGCACACCAACTGAAATATTTCAGGTCTTTAATTGTTTTAATACTGATGATTATGGCATACAGCTCATGAAAACCCAAAATGCCTGTC